AAATGGTAGCATAAAATCCAAATGTCACATATATTATTTCTTATTTCATACAAATAAACTTACAATTATAACCTCAACTTGTTTGCAAAGCAGAAACTCAATATAAGCAATCGATCAGTAGTGTATTTAAAAGTCGAATTTAAATTTAAAAATTTATAATCTTATTTCGGAACCAAATAGTATAAATTTAGGACAAAAAGCTACGTGGTGTTGATAACAACTATTAAAATTCAAATATTACTACCATGAACAATACAATGGCTCATATTGATAATTGATAAACGTGCATATAAATTGCATATATCATCAATGTCATTAAGTAAAATACATGTATATAAATAGATTAGAAATATTTTTCGGTTAGAATTAAAATCTATGCAATAAAAAATAAGTTATAAAAATAAATACCGAATTTTTATTTGTAATATAAACTGCTACAATATGCTAGTGTATACAAATGTATTTGTCGTATTGATTTGAAAGATCTTCAACATGGTTCAGATCTAAATTTGAAACTCGTAAAATAAAGCGAATCTTTATTTATAATATAAACTGCTACAATATGCTAGTGTATACAAATGTATTTGTCGTATTGATTTGAAAGATCTTCAACATGGTTCAGATCTAAATTTGAAACTCGTAAAATAAAGCGAATCTTTATTTATAATATAAACTGCTACAATATGCTAGTGTATACAAATGTATTTGTCGTATTGATTTGAAAGATCTTCAACATGGTTCAGATCTAAATTTGAAACTCGTAAAATAAAGCGAATCTTTATTTATAATATAAACTGCTACAATATGCTAGTGTGTACAAATGTGTTTGTACAAATGTATAACTCTTTGTCAATTGTTATGGCACCTTATAACTTAAAAATCATTTTCATTAACAAATATAAAAAGTGACAATTAATATTTTCATTAAATGCATATTTAATTATCAAAACAATGTCGATTTAGCTTGAATGTTCATTATAAATGTGTAAGTTTCGGAAAACAAAAAATAATTAATTCTCGCAAAGAAACTTATTTTAAAAGAACCTAAACAAAAGTTCATATAATAATAAATCTAAAAATAGATATTAATTTAAACGAAGATAATGAGAGAATGGGGATGTTGTAAAACAATGAGACTTAATGATCAAATAATTAAAATAATAAAATTAATTAAAGGAAAGCTAAAATAGTTTAATGAATTTTTATAGATTGATTACACAATCAATGTTTCTGTGTCAATGTACGTCAATCAACATTGTTTCATTGAATTTTGTCTTTCACCAAGAAGATTCAAGAACAAAGTTTTGTAGTTTCAATAGATTGATTACACAATCAATGTTTCTGTGTCAATGTACATCAATCAACATTGTTTCATTGAATTTTGTCTTTCACCAAGAAGATTCAAGAACAAAGTTTTGTAGTTTCAATAGATTGATTACACAATCAATGTTTCTGTGTCAATGTACATCAATCAACATTGTTTCATTGAATTTTGTCTTTCACCAAGAAGATTCAAGAACAAAGTTTTGTAGTTTCAATAGATTGATTACACAATCAATGTTTCTGTGTCAATGTACATCAATCAACATTGTTTCATTGAATTTTGTCTTTCACCAAGAAGATTCAAGAACAAAGTTTTGTAGTTTCAATAGATTGATTACACAATCAATGTTTCTGTGTCAATGTACATCAATCAACATTGTTTCATTGAATTTTGTCTTTCACCAAGAAGATTCAAGAACAAAGTTTTGTAGTTTCAATAGATTGATTACACAATCAATGTTTCTGTGTCAATGTACATCAATCAACATTGTTTCATTGAATTTTGTCTTTCACCAAGAAGATTCAAGAACAAAGTTTTGTAGTTTCAATAGATTGATTACACAATCAATGTTTCTGTGTCAATGTACATCAATCAACATTGTTTCATTGAATTTTGTCTTTCACCAAGAAGATTCAAGAACAAAGTTTTGTAGTTTCAATAGATTGATTACACAATCAATGTTTCTGTGTCAATGTACATCAATCAACATTGTTTCATTGAATTTTGTCTTTCACCAAGAAGATTCAAGAACAAAGTTTTGTAGTTTCAATAGATTGATTACACAATCAATGTTTCTGTGTCAATGTACATCAATCAACATTGTTTCATTGAATTTTGTCTTTCACCAAGAAGATTCAAGAACAAAGTTTTGTAGTTTCAATAGATTGATTACACAATCAATGTTTCTGTGTCAATGTACATCAATCAACATTGTTTCATTGAATTTTGTCTTTCACCAAGAAGATTCAAGAACAAAGTTTTGTAGTTTCAATAGATTGATTACACAATCAATGTTTCTGTGTCAATGTACATCAATCAACATTGTTTCATTGAATTTTGTCTTTCACCAAGAAGATTCAAGAACAAAGTTTTGTAGTTTCAATAGATTGATTACACAATCAATGTTTCTGTGTTAATGTACATCAATCAACATTGTTTCATTGAATTTTGTCTTTCACCAAGAAGATTCAAGAACAAAGTTTTGTAGTTTCAATAGATTGATTACACAATCAATGTTTCTGTGTCAATGTACATCAATCAACATTGTTTCATTGAATTTTGTCTTTCACCAAGAAGATTCAAGAACAAAGTTTTGTAGTTTCAATAGATTGATTACACAATCAATGTTTCTGTGTCAATGTACATCAATCAACATTGTTTCATTGAATTTTGTCTTTCACCAAGAAGATTCAAGAACAAGTTTTCCTCTTTTTCTTTTTTAAATGATTAAAATATTACCTTGCTTCAACTTTACACGTTTTCGTTTACTAAAATTATCTTTTACCTTCACTTATCTTATCATACCCAATTATTCATTTAATTCTATATTTTTCTGACCAAAAATCCTCTCAAATCTCCCTTCTTCTTTCAAAAATTCTATGAGTTTATTCAAATTTCCTTTAAATCTTTGCTAGTCCTTCTATAAGATTCATTCTAAAATTTTTGAAAAAAATTTAAAATTTGCTAAATATATTCTTTATTACTTTGCACTATTTTCCAATTGAAAAATCGTCGATTTTAATCAAATGTAAGATCATCATAATAAAAATTATGAAACTTACCGTGTTTATTAGTAAATTTCAATATGAAGTTGTTATACAAACAGCTGGGACTTTAAATTGAGAAATTGCATAATTCCATCTACAAATTTTGGTCTAGACAATAATCATTGATAAATTATAATATATGTATTATGTGTATTTACATTGCATATATAACAATTTCAATTTCTATATTAAATTGTTATTTGATATCAGCTATATTTGTTCAGGTGAAATGAAGTGTAAAAATATAACTCATGAATTACATATATATATATTATTTTTATTATTAAAATCAAATTCAGATTTATAAATTAAGGTTATTCATTTTTGATATGGTTATCACGCTCAAATATGGAAATAAAATTAAAAAAGTCAATACTCCTCAAGAAATACATTGTCTATCATTATATCTATATGCTTCCAAAGTATTTCATCTTAAACTAAAGACTTTTATATTACAAAAAGATTCAAAGAAGATACAATTGTTTAATTATGTTAAACATTATTCAGATATGACAATTGAAATAAAAGAGTCAAAAAAGCCTCTAAACTATTTGACAATCCAATAATTTCTTGAGTGTGGGACAAACTATCCAGTGTCACTTTTTTATTAACCTTATTTTAAAAAATTAATAAAATAATAATAAAAAATTATTTGAATCTTTTACATTAATTGTTTCTTTTTTAAAAGTACCTTTAAAGTACAATAAACAAGATTTGAATCTATTGATCCTTGTTGCAAACTTGAATATATTGCTTCAAGCATTTTTGAGAGTAGCCCATGCTAGCTTTTATCTCTTCTTGGATACCAAACTGGAGGAGCTCCATAGTGTTGAATATCACGGGCTCCATACAACAAATTGAATAAGGTATTTCAAAATTTGAAGGAAATGGTCCATCATTGAATGTAGTGGCCGGGAATTGAATGACATACAGATAGTTTGAGGAAATTTGTTATAAATTATAATATAATTGAAGAATTAATTATCAAAACAAGTCTAAGAGCCATTTGTCAGATTTTCCCGAAATGCAAGGTTAAGATTTTAGCAGCGACTAACTTTGAGTGTACATATATAATTGTTATACTGAGTACTTTCTATCTGTGTTACTTATTTGAGTCTAAGAGCCATTTGTCAGATTTTCCCGAAATGCAAGGTTAAGATTTTAGCAGCGACTAACTTTGAGTGTACATATATAATTGTTATACTGAGTACTTTCTATCTGTGTTACTTATTTGAGTCTAAGAGCCATTTGTCAGATTTTCCCGAAATGCAAGGTTAAGATTTTAGCAGCGACTAACTTTGAGTGTACATATATAATTGTTATACTGAGTACTTTCTATCTGTGTTACTTATTTGAGTCTAAGAGCCATTTGTCAGATTTTCTCGAAATGCAAGGTTAAGATTTTAGCAGCGACTAACTTTGAGTGTACATATATAATTGTTATACTGAGTACTTTCTATCTGTGTTACTTATTTGAGTCTAAGAGCCATTTGTCAGATTTTCCCGAAATGCAAGGTTAAGATTTTAGCAGCGACTAACTTTGAGTGTACATATATAATTGTTATACTGAGTACTTTCTATCTGTGTTACTTATTTGAGTCTAAGAGTCATTTCTACCATAGAACTAGATATTGTCTCTCATTAAATATATATAACTGTAAACTGCTTAATTCATTTATCTATTTAGATAAAATTATATTTATATAAGATTTCATGTTATTATTTCATCTTTATTATTTTTTTATTCCTTTGAAAAGTGACACTGGATAGTTTGTCCCTTTCTCATAATTTCTTCAACTAAACTATCAAATTTGGAGGATTTAATAAAATGTGGATATGATATGGATATTTCACAAATTGCATTGTTTTCAGCCAGAAATGACATTGATACTGCTATGAAAATACTGAACATGGATTCAATCGAAGAATATGGATATGAACTTAATTGCTTATTAAAACAAGTAAGAGAATTTAGAAGAAGTGATATAAAAGGTCAAATGATTGCAATAAGGACAGATAGCAATGGTAAAAAATACACAGAAGTATTAGCAGAAAGGATTTTTAAAGCAGATAGCGATGTTGAATCAAGTGATGATTCATATGATATCATTGAAGATGTAAAATCAGATAAAATTAAATCAGGAAACGCGCTTAATATTAATGATATAATTGGCAATAGGAATCCAAATATTAATGGAGAAACGATTAATAGCCATTCAAATATTAATCAAAACATTAATGAAAGAAATTCAAATATTGATGGAGAAACGATTAATAGCCATTCAAATATTAATCAAAACATTAATGAAAGAAATTCAAATATTGATGGAGAAACGATTAATAGCCATTCAAATATTAATCAAAACATTAATGAAAGAAATTCAAATATTAATGATGAAATTACTGATGGTCATCAAAATATTAATGGACGCATATTGAAACCAAAATCAAATAATAATAAATCTCGGCAAGCAATCCCCAAATTACCTCCTAATTTTATACAAGTAAATAGAGTAAACATCCAAGTTCCTCCAGCGCCAGCTCTTCCTCAACAGAGACAACAACAATCTCTTCCAACTCAGGCTCTTCCTAAACAACAACCACATATAACTGATAATTTATCTTTTGATAACTTTATTAACCCTCAAATTATTATTGATAATGCGAAAGTATATCAAAGTATTTCCGACAAAAGGAGTCAATATAATCTTTCCAAAACCATTTGCGAACAATGTGTTGCAAACTACAATATATTGAACAAAGATGATAAAGAAGCCCAGAGAATAAAAATTAGTGATATTTTACGTACTTATCATACATTTAGTATATCTGACTCTGACAAACTTGCCTATAGGAAAACGATATATCCTCAAGGTATTCCATTACGATTTGAACGTTATTATTGCAAGAATGATCATTTAGAGTTACACTATTATTGTGCCAAACGAAAAATGTGGTTATTCACAAATTATATCATTATTTCCAGCTGGTTCGAATATAAAAGCGTCAATCCACGAAATAAATCCTCCACACAACTGCTCCAAATCGGAATATTCGATTGAAATCAATGGAACACATCAAATCAGGTATGAATTCGAATCAATGATATCAACTTATATTCAAAATAATCCATTGTTATCACTAGCTGAAGCTCGACAATATTCAAATCAACTCATATTTGAATACAATTCTTCACATGATGATACTATTGATATTTCACCTCAAACAATAGCAAAGCTATACTACGAGATCAGGCCTAAAATCAAACTAAGCGAAAATGAATTAATTAAGAAGTTATTAGAAAAGTATAACAGCACAGATTATTATATAACCCAATATTACTCAAGTTCAGATGATACTAACTATTATTTCTTCGGGTTGCCAGCTTTTATAAAAAGAGCTAAAACTTGCAACCATCTTTTCATAGATGGAACATTTCGTATCGTTCCAATTAAGTTAGCAAATGGGCAGCTCTTAAATCTTTTAGTATACGATGAAGCTACAAATTTATATTTACCTTTCCTTCATGTACTAATGACAGGAAGATCATCACTTAACTATGATACAGTTTTTAATTTAATGATCACATGTCCTCTTATTAGTATATCATTGGGAAAATATAAAATCATTACATCAGATTTTGAGAATGCATTAATGAAATCAATCAAATCTAAAGTCAATGATGAAACTACAGTCACTGGTTGTATATTTCATTATATAGCAGCTCTTGTTAAAAATTTCAAAAAGTTATGTGATGAAAACGATGTTTGCGCAAAATCACTTTTAAAACTATTATGTGCATGTCCTTTTGTTCCAATAGAAGTTTTTGAAATAATTTGCAAAAAATTAGATGCGATTAAAGAAATAAATGATTTTGCAAAATATTTCTTAAATACATGGGGTAAAAAGTATGATGTAATTAACAAGCTGAAAGTATCTGATATGATCTTTTCCAATAATGGAGTTGAGTCATTTAACAAAGTGTTAAACTCTCATATTGCATTCCCACATCCAACTATTTATCATATGATTTACATCCTATTGAAAGTTGATAAGGTATATTTTCATCGATATGCAAGGCAGCAAAATGACAATTTTGATCATAAAAAATCGTATTTTATACCATTGACAAGAATTCAACAAGAGTTAGATGTATTCACATCTAATTTTGGATTAGAACGTGCAGAAATACCAAGTGAAATAATCAAAAAACATAAAAAATCATTTCGATTTGGAGAGGCCGATTATCGAGATATAGAAATTGAAAAATATCTGAATAAAAATGATGAGCAGTTTTCAAATTCTGTTACAATTAAATTAGAAGAATCCGATGATATAAATATCAATGAATTCGAAATTACAGAAGATGATATTTTTGGAAATGAGATTAATTAATTTATGACAAATCATTTAGAATAAAAAATTATTTTATAAGAATTTGAAAATTAATAATAAGGGAAATAGGAACAGTAATATATAAGTATATATGAAGACAAAAATTCAATGAAACAATGTTGATTGATGTACATTGACACAGAAACATTGATTGTGTAATCAATCTATTGAAACTACAAAACTTTGTTCTTGAATCTTCTTGGTGAAAGACAAAATTCAATGAAACAATGTTGATTGATGTACATTGACACAGAAACATTGATTGTGTAATCAATCTATAAAAATTCATTAAACTATTTTAGCTTTCCTTTAATTAATTTTATTATTTTAATTATTTGATCATTAAGTCTCATTGTTTTACAACATCCCCATTCTCTCATTATCTTCGTTTAAATTAATATCTATTTTTAGATTTATTATTATATGAACTTTTGTTTAGGTTCTTTTAAAATAAGTTTCTTTGCGAGAATTAATTATTTTTTGTTTTCCTAAACTTACACATTTATAATGAACATTCAAGCTAAATCGACATTGTTTTGATAATTAAATATGCATTTAATGAAAATATTAATTGTCACTTTTTATATTTGTTAATGAAAATGATTTTTAAGTTATAAGGTGCCATAACAATTGACAAAGAGTTATACATTTGTACAAACACATTTGTACACACTAGCATATTGTAGCAGTTTATATTATAAATAAAGATTCGCTTTATTTTACGAGTTTCAAATTTAGATCTGAACCATGTTGAAGATCTTTCAAATCAATACGACAAATACATTTGTATACACTAGCATATTGTAGCAGTTTATATTACAAATAAAAATTCAGTATTTATTTTTATAACTTATTTTTTATTACATAGATTTTAATTCTAACCGAAAATATTTCTAATCTATTTATATACATGTATTTTACTTAATGACATTGATGATATATGCAATTTATATGCACGTTTATCAATTATCAATATGAGCCATTGTATTGTTCATGGTAGTAATATTTGAATTTTAATAGTTGTTATCAACACCACGTAGCTTTTTGTCCTAAATTTATACTATTTGGTTCCGAAATAAGATTATAAATTTTTAAATTTAAATTCGACTTTTAAATACACTACTGATCGATTGCTTATATTGAGTTTCTGCTTTGCAAACAAGTTGAGGTTATAATTGTAAGTTTATTTGTATGAAATAAGAAATAATATATGTGACATTTGGATTTTATGCTACCATTTTTCTAAACAGGTGGTAGTGAGTCATTCACTTAAATATTGAGTAATCTTCAATAATGTGTAACGAAGATTTCTCTGAAACCATTAAAATAACGTATATAAATAATCGTATGTCAAAATGTGTGCCTATTTCAATTTTGCACACATTTTGACAGAAATTTGAATGAAATTTAGAGGTTTTTCTTCAAATTTGAATGATGCTTGTCAGAAAAAGTGTCAAAATGTGTGCAAATGTGTGCTATGTTTTTTTCTCTTCTTTTTTTTCTCTTTTTTTCTCTCTCTCTTTCTTTTCTCTTTCCTCTTTTTACTCCTCTTTCTCTTTTCATCATTAAACGTAGAAAGATATATTAATATTATTTTAAAATTAAAAAAAAATAAAGAAAGTATAATAAGTAATTATTTAGTTATCGATATATATATATGTAAAGTGATAATCTGAGGATAATCTGAGGAGGAGTCTGAGGATTAGACCGAGGAGTAGTTTGAGGAGTTTGATGATAATCTGAGGAGTTTGAGGATAATCTGAGGAGTTTGAGGATAATCTGAGGAGTAGTCTGAGGAGTTTGAGGATAATCTGAGGAGTTGTCTGAGGAGTAGTTTCAGGAGTTGTCTGAGGATAATTTGAGGAGTTTGAGGAGTAGTCTGAGGAGTTTGAGGATAATCTGAGGAGGAGTCTGAGGATAATCTGAGGAGTTTGAGGATAATCTGAGGAGGAGTCTGAGGATTAGACCGAGGAGTAGTCTGAGGAGTTTGAGGATAATCTGAGGAGGAGTTTGAGGATTAGACCAAGGAGTAGTCTGAGGAGTTTGAGGATAATCTGAGGAGGAGTCTGAGGATTAGACCGAGGAGTAGTCTGAGGAGTTTGAGGAGTAGTCTGAGGAGTTTGAGGATAATCTGAGGATTAGACTGAGGAGTTTGAGAAGTAGTCTGAGGATAATCTGAGGAGTATTTTGAGGATAATCTGAGGAGGAGTCTGAGGATTAGACTGAGGAGTATTTTGAGGATAATCTGAGGAGAAGTCTGAGGATTAGACTGAGGAGTAGTTTGAGGATAATCTGAGGAGTAGTTTCAGGAGTAGTCTGAGGACTAGTCTCAGGACTAGTCTGATGAGGAGGACTCTAAGGAGTAGTCTGAAGAGTAGTCTCAGGAGGAAGATCTGAGGAGGAGTCTTATGAGGAAGATCTGAGGAGTAGTCTGATGAGGAGGGGTCTAAGGAGTAGTCTGAGGATGATGAGTAATCTGATAAGGAGTAGTCTGAGGATGATCTGAGGATAACCTGATGACTAGTCTAGGAGTGGTCTAATAAAAATGTAAAATATTTTCAAAGAAAAAATTCTATGAATTTTATATTTTAATTCTTAGCATTATACTGAATAAAATAAACATAAATATCAAAATTTGAAATTGAACACGCCAAAAAATTGATAATCCACATTCAATATTTTGTAAGTGGCGTACATTTTGAATACTCGCCATACGCCTTGGAGTTCTCAATTTTGAATTCGCCTTTATTTGGGCGACCTCAGAAAAATACGCCATTAAGAAAATATTGTATGAGATTTTAAATTTGAACACGCTCTACCTTAAGGAATTAAATTTATTAAGATATATTTATATATAATAAACGATTACTTAAAAAAAAGTATTTCATCGCTTATGTAAGTTTCAAAAAAATCACGAAAATAAAAAAATCAAGATTAAAATTTTATTTTTAATTTTTGAATTTCTCAAATGGCGAAATTTTTGGGCGAACAAAAAAAATGTACGCCTGGTCAAATGGCGTGTTTAACGCATCCCTACGCAACCATTCTCAGGGAATATTGGATGCTATTCCCGTTCCCTCTGTATGGAAAATTGAGGTTTTCAAAGGGAGTTAAAATAATATCAAATTTATACTAATTTACTTCAAAATACAAAAGTATTTGACAGCTAAAATTAGTTACTTTAGCAAGCCTATTGTTGTAAACAGAAATTCATCAAAAGTGACACCTCAGAAAAGCTAAAATATTGAATTTTTGGAACTTTTGATAGAGCACGTTTTTAAATATTAATTAAAGTAAATGTATATTTTGTAAAGATTCTTTTTAATAAAAAATAAAATTTTGAAGAAGAACACAAAATCTTCTGAAAAATAATATCACATAAACTCATATTATTTTCTAATATATAACTATTTTATATAAAAATCAAAATCAATGATCTTAAAAGCGAAGGATAACCCTCAAAATTTACGAATATAATGAGTGGGAATATAATGCTTATCTATCATAAAACCATATGAAATATCAATTTTTGCTTTACGCCTAATTTTTGACGACAATTAGCAAAAAATGTTAAATGTTAACACTCAGTCCATTTGAATATAAAAATAAAATTGACTTTGATTAAATGTTTTTTATTTATCATGCAATTCTTCTTGCTACCAAAGATTTGAATAAAATTTCAAAAATAAGATAGCTTAAAAAATAATATACGGTAGTGTTTACTAATAGATGAATAGTATATAAATTCTATTAAAATGGATTTGATCCAAAAAAATATATAAATTTGATCATAAATAAAATCGTTTTAAATTACTTCTTCATTTAAATTATAACAATTATTTTGGTTTTATATTTTTTTGGATCAAATCCATTTTAATAGAATTTATATACTATTCATCTATTAGTAAACACTACCGTATATTATTTTTTAAGCTATCTTATTTTTTGAAATTTTATTCAAATCTTTGGCCGCAAGAAGAATTGCATGATAAATAAAAACATTTAATCAAAGTCAATTTTATTTTTCATATTCAAATGGACTGAGTGTTAACATTTAACATTTTTTGCTAATTGTCGTCAAAAATTAGGCGTAAAGCAAAAATTGATATTTCATATGGTTTTATGATAGATAAGCATTATATTCCCACTCATTATATTCGTAAATTTTGAGGTTTATCCTTCGCTTTTAAGATCATTGAATTTGATTTTTATATAAAATAGTTATATATTAGAAAATAATATGAGTTTATGCGATATTATTTTTCAGAAGATTTCATTCTATATGCCTATGAAAAGTACTCTCAAAACTAACTTTTTCCTAATTATAATTAAATCTAGAATATTGTATTATGCTTGGTATTATTTCATTTTTCTCATTCAATTTAGAATTTACAAATGTCAAAAAATTGAGAGCTGTCACTTTTGATGAATTTCTGTTTATTAAAAAAAAAGGTAGTGGGGCCTCCAGGCACTTCGTGCCCTCTAGCCCCGAAGATGTTTAGTATAACATGCAGTTTATATAAAATGAGGTTTTTTTGGGTGAAGGGGGCTTCCCAGGCACTTCGTGCCTTCTAGCCCTAAAAATTTTTGAAAGTCGTTGCTGTTGACTTTTCGGTAGAGGACTCAAAATAGTAGAACTATGTCCGGACAAGTAAGGGTCTATCGTCGCTACAGAAAAGTTACGGGCGTTCAAAGAAATATACTTTGAGAGACTCTTTAGAAACTTTAGACGTTTTACATAACCATCCATGCTTTTACTTTACATCCGATAAAAGTGGTTTGGAAACCGTTATGAGATGGAAAGAGTTTTATACATGACTATGAGTTTAGATACGATAAGATAGAATATGAGAGAGGTCCTATAAACCGGAGAAAGTGTCATATAAACATCTGTCAAAAACAGCTTTTTAACTTCACTTAAATGCCACGTAAGCTACGTAAGAATATACGTAAGAGGAAGAGAGCATTGAAACATCCAATAGTAAGACTAACACCACAACAACAGTTGCAACAACAAATGCTGAATGACTCCACTATGTTGCAACAAATGTCAAGCAATCCTATGCTTTTAAACCGAGTTGTTGGTGCACAGAGTGGAGGTTTAAGAGCGGCACTTTTAGCGAAAATGGCAGGCTATGGTGGAGCTGCAGACGGAACAGCCTATAACCCTCAAAGTCAAATGAATTTGAGTTCACTCAAAAATCAAATAGCAGATGTCAAAAAGTCAAACATAGACATACAGAAGCAAATAGGTGAAAACGAAAAGAAACTAGAATATGACAGACACACAAAGAAACTCAATGAGTTAAACGTAGAGAAAAAGAAGAAAGAAGAACAACTGAAAGAACTAAGTACAGAGCAATATGCGAAAAAAGTGTCAGAAAAAGCAGCAGAAGTAGCAAAAATGGAACAAGATGTCATAAATTTGAAAAACCATACTACTCGATATAAAGTACTGAAAGATGAAGAGATAAAACAAAAAGCCCTGAAGACATATATGGATAGCGATGAGTATAAAAAGGAAGTTGAAGCAAATGTAAAGGCAGAAAAACTTTTACAGTTGCAAAACCAAACCGTACAGTATGAAAACTTAGCACAAGAAAGTAAAAATAACGACGCAGCCATGCAAAAGGCAATGAAAAGCGCAGAATATATAAAAGCTAACAATGACTGGTTAGATGCCCAAGCCAACGCTAAAGCAGCTCAGCTTATAGGTCAATAAGGACAAAAATACAAGCGGATGAAGACAGTTCAAATGAAGCTTTAACAAATGCTGACTTTAAGAACGCCTTCGAAGCTCTTCATAGTAAGGTGAAACTAGTGAACGACTTCTCATCTGGAAAGAAACTGAAGTCTGAAGGTTTCGACAAAGAGTTAAAAGAAGTAGCACAAAATATGACGAAAATAACAGATGCAGCAACGAGACAGGCAGTTCAAAGTGCCTATGACGCCGTTAGAGCAACTGTTGTGAAAAGTCAAGAAAAAGAGTTACAACAGACCAAAACAGACCTAGTAAATGCTTTCTTAAAAACGAAAAGTCAGGTAGGACATTACGCTGCAGATGGAACATATGTGCCAGCTGGTGGAACTTATATACCAGCTGGTGGAACTTATATACTAGCTAGTGGAACTTATATACCACCAAACCCTCCAAGAGAAGCACCTGCACCAGGACTACCTAAAACATTTACATCGTCACATGGACACAGACACAGGCATGCACCAAAACCAACACAACAACCAACAGTTCAAAACCCTGCACAACAACCACCTCCACAACCAGCACAACAACCAACAGTTCAAAACCCTGCACAACAACCAACAGTTCAAAACCCTGCACAACAACCACCTCCACAACCAGAGCAAGGACATAAAAGAAGTAGAGAACAAGGAAACCAAGAATTCTTAAAAATGCTTAAAGAAGACTATGGTTACCCAGATACTATTGACTTTAGTGACAGATATAAAGAAGCTATTAGAAAGTTCAATGAAGGAAATACTGACCCGAACCTATTTAGCTTTATGGCTCAACACCAAATCGGATATAATTTCAAACCTGGAAAATACAAGCTCGCAAAGGGATATGATTTAATAGCATATCATCCAAATGACATGAACGAATTTACTCCGAGATATTTGGTGTCAGAGCTAAATGACAATTTAACTATCTTCATGAAACGCGTAAAAATAGAGACGGAACGAAAGAACAAAGGCTTATGAATGCGAATGACTTAAATAGGGAACTTGTTGAAAACGGTCTCGGAATATATGAAATGCCAGCAGATGAGGTACAAGAAACTCCACAGGAAGAAGTTCAGATACAACCAGACATGGAAGAAATAGTTCAGCAACAACAGCTAGAAGAGCCTGAAGGAAACGAACAAGTCACTCCTTTGGAAACTAACTTCACAAACTAGATGAAGATTTGGAACAGCCGAAAAATCTTGACCTCAACAAGAGTATGCGGAGAATATGGAATATTTCCAAGAGTCTAAAAAAATTCGGCTGACATAGTAGAAGAATATCGAAAAATGTTTGCCGACATACAAAAGACTCCACACCAGATGAAAATATTCAGCATAGAATGGAAGTACTGAAAAGAAAATGTACACAAATACAACAACCCTTTTTACTTACGAGCATTTAACGTTCAATCTTCGGATGAACTCGGTGAAAATAAAAGGTTAAATTTCAAGAAAACATATAGAAATGAAACATTGTTTAAAGTTCATTCAGAACCTAACCAAGATGGAAACAAACCTACTTTTGTTTCTGCAGACGATGGAACTACAATGAGATGGGGTCATAAAGCTAACCCGGATAGGTGGTTCATAAACTTACAACCTCAATTCCAAGAAGTTGTAGACGCAATGGAAGTCAATGGTGAACGAGATATAGCTGGTATTTTAAGCGCGGCTTTAATGCCATTGAAAGATATGAAACATGCAGATATTTTGGACCAGTATGAAATGAACATGGCTGATGGAAATATAACACCTGACGTTCTAGAACATTTATCTCAAAGAACTACACAGAACCATAGAGATGGTATATTTGGTGAAGAGTTTAGAAAGAAAGTTATGGACAGAGAAGGAAGAGAACCTATTGTACATGACCTTGCAAACAAAAGTTTACAAAATGTCATAAAAACTTACTTTGCAGACAATGAACCGAGAAGGGATGAATATTTAAGAAAACTCAAATGGACAGTACCAAATGAAATGTTAGTATTGAAAAACATGTTCCTTGACAAAATAAAACCAACTACAGAAATAAACGACGCAAGACTGAAAGATTGGGTAAAAGCTTTCCCATTCACAAAAGATATAGTTGGTAACATGGAAGAAAACCAGAATGGCTACAAAAACATATATTTGGAAACGAGCTTATTCCATATGGACAGGCACTGTTTGAAGAGCTTGAACCGGAAACTCAGGACAGAGTCATGCAAACAATAAGCGAAGACTCAAATACAAACTATGACAAACTCTTTCTAGGATATAGGTTACCTGAGATGGGCGACCAGAGCCCAAAGGCAAAAAGGACATGGGAAATTTACAACATACTAGGTGAACATGAGGCAAAGATGCAACAACTTGAAGCAGAGGGCAAGTTACCAAAAGCGACACCAAAGAAGAAGAGAAGAGTAGAACAAAGTGAAAGTAGTGAAGAAGTAACTTCATCTAGTGAAAGTAGTGGCAATGAAAGAAAAAGAAGAGTTAAAAACTCAGTCAGGAAGAAAGTAAAGCTTGGTCCACGTGGGTTCTATTATGACACATAAATCCAACTATTCTATATTTTTACCCATATGAAATGTACGCCGCTCAGAATATAACGCCAACAGTTTTGGATGCCATGAACGGAAATGTTTCCGAATGGTATAACGAATGCGACAATGCCATTAGAAGGTCAGAAATAGTTCCTGGAACTTACGAAATATACAACTGCTGTTTCTTATGGAAACGTAGGTGAGTTTGGAGAAGGTTCTTCAACACAGTAGATATTGCTTGCGACAGGTTTCATATAATTTCTATTGACAACTCTTTCTTATACGTGGAACAAGACATTGAAATAAAACCTTCTGCCAAGTTGTCTGACAAGAAAGGTTGCAATGGAATTTTCTATGTCGGATACCAATATGCTCCAGAAAGTTTTCATGGGATATAAGATATATTCTAACTCTGACTTAGTTCAAACAGTAACATGGGCAAACTATGAATGGTTCGCTTGAGAAACTCAGTACAACCACAAGCTAGAGAACAAACAGACCAGTATGCAACTATTGAGAAAATAAGAAGACTTGACCCTAACGTTCCAGGAGTTTATGTTAACCTTTCTGGTTCAGATGGAAATGCAGTAACCAAAGTAAAATTGAAACTTAGAGTTCCTTTGTCATCTTTCCTCATCTTCAGGTTTTTAAGATACTTGCCAAACTGGGCAGGAAAAATTTCTATCGAACTTACTCCAAGCAAAAATAACTTAGTCATTGCACCAACACAAGACCCATTCACTCTTACTGTAGCTGGAACTGGTGGAGCCAAGTTCTGTGACTTTTGCAAAGGTGAGGTTGACCTAAACTTTGGTTTCTCAAACCTCAACACTGAAGTAAACTACTACTTCAATGCTGCTGGAACTGCTTGGGACCCAGTTAAGTTCACATGCGAAAAGTTTGAATGCAAGAGAATAGAAAGCAGACTTGCAGTCTATATGTTGGACCCAGATATTTCAAATGCTTTAGCTGCCAAAATATATTGCAGTTCCACTTATGTTCCCTATACACCAAATATCTGTCAAAGACTTTGCAGGTGAAGTTGGAAACCAAAGTGCTGACCCAGGTGCAAGAACAGATATTGCCTTAACAACTGCAATGAAACATGCAGATACTATGTTTGTTCTTTTTCAGACGAACTATAAATGACTATTCTTGTTTCTACAACCCCGGTATTAAATATCATATAACATAGATGGCAAATATTATCCAAGAGAAGAATATTCTACAGTTGAGGATATGAGGTCATACAACTTGACTTAGATGCTATGAACTTTAACAACAACTTCACAACAACCATTAACCCTGAATGCAAAGTTCTATTATGCCATATGTGAAAGTATGGACTCATACAGGAGGTCAAAACACTCAATATACAAATGGGAGACCGTTCAAACTTTTTGGCTTGGCATTCCATTTGCTGACTCAGAAGACTTTATGGGTGGTATTTCAACTGTTGGTACAGTTTCAAATACAATATACTGGTGACAGAGACGGTCCAGATGAATTGAAAGCAAAGAAGTTTACAAAACCAATAGCACTTTTCACGGGAAGATGCTCTTTTGAAAATTCGTTCGATGAAACCTGCTGGGGCTCCTCAGATTGTATGTATAACGACAGCTTCCATCGAGCAGATTTTGGCAGCAGGTCAGTAAGTTTCTTTGAACTGACTTCTCTCCGTCAAATATTGACAGTACGCCAGTTTTGATATAATATGTATTAAAAACTTACCTTTAGAAATATCGGTCAGTTTTGTTGTTATATTTTTGTCTGCTTCAAGAACTTTCACCATCTCGGTTATACCAACTTTCTTTGCTTTATGAAATATTTTGGTTCAGCAAAGACTGCTATTCTATAACATTTTCCATTGTTTGTATAAAGAACTACTCTGTCAATGAACTTGTATTGTTTGTGTGTGTAAACTTTTTCTGCTTCCAATTCGAAAAGATACTCAAATACGTCCATCTTTTTATCTAAGTAAAATGTCATTTCCGAAAAATAGAAGCGTAAGTGTTTCAAAAGGTTTAATGGCGATGGCAGATGTGAAGTTAAATTCACCAACTCAAAACAAACAGTCAAAGTGTTTTGGTCAATGTCAAAGAAAGAGATGTTGAAGTGGGGAAACCATACGAAGACGAAGATGGATAACAATAGTTCCTGTAAAAGAACAACCAACATACCCTGAAGTTAGCAGAGACTTAAGTCTGTTGCAGATATTCGAAACGACTACCAACAACTTAAAAGACAAACTTAAAACTCAGGAGAAGATTGTCAGGCTTTGGGTATAATGTTAAACTTGTCGACACAACCCTGTAAA